GTGATTCTGCAGCCACCCAGCAACTGTGGATCCCCCGGCAGCTGTTCCGTGGAGCCCACTAGCTGGTTTGCTAATCAGGATGCCGTGGGGCACTTGGTCAAAAGCCTTGCTGAGGACAAGGCAGGTGATGTCCACAGCACCCACCGTCCATTGGGGAGGGTGCACAATCAAAGCATGAGATCAGATTCGTCTGGTGGGATTTGATCTCGAGGAATCCATGCTGGCTTCTAGTAATCACTGCATTCCTTTCCGCGGATTTGTGGACTGGCTGTTTTAGAATCTGCTCCAGAATTTTCCCAGAGACCGGGTCACATTCTCTCGTCCTCAGTTCCCAGGTTCTTCTCTTCCTTTCTCAAGGACAGGGACAGCACCGGCCTCTCTCCCGTCCTCTGGCACCTGCCTGCCTCGATTTCCTAATAGCTGTCTTCCCGGAAAGCCCGTGGCAGCAGTGGGGGGGGGGGTGAGCAGTGGGCAGCTGCTGTAGGGAGAAGGGAAGCAGTGTCGGGGAGGGGAGCGCTGCCCAAACCTGGCCCTGGCCCCACGTTGCGCCAACCTGGAGCCCAGGCCAAGCACCCCGAGTCCCAGCTCAAGGATGTGCTTGGTGAGACACGCTTTCACAGAGCAGTGGGGCTCGGAGGACAAAGGCAGCCTCAGTTTCAGCCCCCCCCCTCCCCCGCAGACAGGTTCTTCTTGTAACCCTCCCAGCCTGTGGGGAGCGGCGTGTGCCTCGGCATTCCACGGTTTCACCTGTGCGCAGGAGTCATTTCTGATGCAAGGCAAAGTACGAGTTACACAAGGAGCTGTACTGTTTGGACTGCTGCAGAAATTCTTATCGATAGTGCTGGGGGTTAGTTAGAATAACTAAAAATCATTTGTGAAACACGACATGCGAGGGGAAAGGAACAGGGAGGGGAGAGGAAAATCCAGGCACTGACTATCCACACTGATGGACACACATGTGGCTAAAGCCCCCCGAGAGCCGCAGTCCAGACTGGCAATCAGTGTTTCTTTCCACTTTCGGTGGCCTCTGTGTGTGCAGGTCTGTGGGAGATCCTCCTCGAGTCCTGAGTCCACGGTTTAGGGGTTCCATTTTTTCAAAATATCCGGTAATCTGTGATTGAGCTCCCATTGGCTCCATGCTGAGTCACCTGTAAAGTGGTCTGACTGAAGTAAGAGGAACTTAAGGCTATCAAGAGGCTCTTGAGAGGCCAGGGGAGGCCAGTTTTGTGTCGTTTACAAATTTAAGCTTTGTTCCCTGGACTTTCTTATCTAGATCATCAATTTAAAAAGTTGAAGCGCGCTGCTCCAGGGCCGGACCCCGCGGCCCTCCACTCGTTCCCCCTCTCCAGCGGGAGAAGGAGTTGATGAGCGTTCTGAGTGGCCTATTTTGCAGCCAGGTGTGGACCCACCCAAGAGGAGTTCTGTCGAGCCCATTTTCGGATTGCTTGTTATCAGGCTGCCATGGGGCACGTGGCTGGATGCAGTCCTAGAGTCTAGGTACATGATGTCCGCGGCGTTTCTGCTGCATGTTTGAACGGTTGCCAGTGGAATAAATGAGAGTAGGTTAGTCTGGCATGACTTATTCTTAAGAAACTCCTGCCGGCTGCTGTTCAAAGTGCTTGCAGACTGGTTTTTTAGCAATTAGCTCCAGTACTTTCCTAGGGATTGATGGCTGATTGGCTTGTCTTTAGTTCCCCAGTTCGCCTTTCTCCCTTTCTTGTAGACTAGAAGACCATCAGCTCTTCTCCAGTCATCTGGCATTTCCCCTGTTTTCAAGATTTCTGGAAGATTATGGGCAGTGGCTCAGCGAGTTCTTCCACCAGTTCCTTCAGGACAGTGGGGTGCAGGTGATGGGGCTCCTCAGGCCCCGGAGATCTGAGTGCATCAAACCCATCAAGGTGCTCCTTGACCGTCTGTCTGTTGCGCACATGCGCCATCCTGCCCTTTCGTCTTGTACTTCCTCCTCGGTAGGTAGGTTGTGTTTTCTCTTGCTGGAGAAGACGGGGCTGAACTACGAGTTGAGCATCTCTGCCTTTTCTTGCCATCTGGTATCTTTTTGCCATCCACAGAGTTGCTGAACTCCCCTCTTTTGTCTGTCTTTGTTTTGAGTGTAACTGAAGAAGACTTTTTCGTTCTTTGTAGCAAGTCTCACTAGCCTCAGTGCATTCCCTGCTTTAGCATTCTGTTCGCCATCCCTGCGAGTCTTTGCTGCCTGTTTATCCTCTTCTTCAGTGGCCTGGCCTCCCTTCCTCTTCCTGTATGTGTCCTTTTTGGCTTTCAAGTTGTTTCTTAACTTTTTGTGGAGCCAGGAGGACTTCCTTTGTTGTCTTCTGCCATTTTTGTTGGAATTAGTTGCTGTGGTCCTTTGAGAATTTATTTTTTAAGGATCCCCATCCCTCTGGGGCTGCTTTTCCCTTTACAGTGAGCTGCCGGGCCTCACTGGACAGTGACTAGAATTTCGTAAAGTTGCTCCCCTTAAAGGCTACGGTGCACGTGCGGCTGCAGTTGACTCTTGCTGTCTTCATATCCGGGGGCTCGGGGGTGGCGGAGGCACCTTCCTCCAGGGGACCTGGGCCACCACTCGCCACTGCATCTTCCCCGTGGGTAAGCATTCGGTCGAGAGCAGCTGCTCCTCTTGTCCTTTCCTCTGCCTTCCTCTGGAGGAAGTGATTGGCGATACCTGCCAAGCAACTTTTGGAGGGCCCATGCCTCCAAAAAATGTCTCCCGGGAAGGCGAAGTCCCCCGGGGTGGGGTGGCCACATCGTGCTTCGTGCAGCGCTGGCCATGTCCGCCCTGGAGGCGGCCTCCCTGTCCGCTCTTCGACTGGGTGGGCAGGAGCAGACGCCAGTGACGAGGCTTCCTTTGTGCTTTGCCCCTCCTTACCTGACCCAGACGCCCCCGGCGTGGCTGCTGAGCGCGTCCTCCCGTACTTCATTGCAAGTATGTTTTTACACATGGTGCAACCCACCCCCCGTTTGGCCTGTCTGTGTGCCTCGAAGGGGGGCTCAGTCGGTGGTTGGATTCCATGCATGGGAGTCGTCCCAGCGAGTCTTGGTTATTGCTGTGAGGTGGTAGTTGCCCTTGTGTACGTGCAGCTTGCGTTTGTGTTACTTCCCCTACTCGGGGCATCGGTACAGAAACATTCCAGTTCACTTGGGCTGCAGCCCGGCTTTCCTCTGGTGTTTTGTGGGATACTGTTATTAGTCTCTACTTGAGGTTTTTTTATCTGCTGCGGAAGATGACCCATTGCCAGTTGACACGGATCATAGAACAGCAGAGCTGGAAGGGGCCATGCAGGCCATCGGTCGAGCCCCCTGCTGGTGCAGGACACCACGTTACACCACCCCACTCAGAGGGCTGCCCAGTTTCACCTTGAATGTCCCCGGTGTGGGGGAGCCCACCTCCTCCCCAGGCAGCTGGTCCCACTGCCCCCTTGCTCTGATGGTGAGGAAGTTCTTCCTGATGTCCAGCTTGAATCTGAGTTGCCATAACTTGACTTGATTATTCCAAGTCCTGCACTTGAGATCTTGGCCTTCCTCTTGTGGCAGCCTTTGTGGCACGCGCTGGATCTTCATTCTGACTTCAAGGGTGCTTGCTATGCCACCCAGTTTTGTATCATCTGCCTATCTGATTATCTTTCCTTGTAGTTCCTCATCTAAACCGCTAATAGAGATGCTGAGGAGTGCTGGGCCCCGGACTGAGCCCTGCGGCGCCCCACTAGCCGCCTCCCTCCAGTCTGAGAGGGTGCTGCTGAGAAGCTCTGTGTCCCGCTCAGCAGCCGGTTTGGACCCCCTGCCAGTTCATGGCCCTGTGCTGGCTGCAGGGGGAGAGGCGGTGCGCGGGGGGATCGGGAGCTGCTGCGCTCAGGTCCCGCTTGTGCGGCATATTGCAGGGCCTGCGGCTCGGCCTCTGTGAGCGGAGTGCTGCTCTAGGTGGCCTCAGGGTGCCTCTTGCCTCTGCCTGCCTCTGCTTTTAAGTCTGTTGGTCCTCCAGGGACTCCTCCCAGGCTTCTTCTGAGTAGCTCAGCGAAAGGAAGAAGCCGCAATGAGTGGGCTTGGGTCATGCCAGGGGGCTCTGGAGTGCCCATTGTATTACCACTGGTATTGCGCCCTGCGGTGCCCTGCTGGGATCCCAGGGGTCAGAGACGCTCCGGTGCTCGGGGGAAGGCGCACCAACGGTGCTTCCCACTCTCGTTTTGGCCGAAGAGCCAAGTCGAGGAGGTGCGAACCCTCCTCCAAGGGTGCCCTTCCCGGAGTGGCCGTCTGCTCACCTTCCTCGAGAGGCTGTCTGCTTGAGCGGGCAGAGCTGCTGTGGCTTGGCAAAGGGCCAACTCAGGAAGGCTCATCTCCCCCCCCCCCCCAAGACTGGCCAGCTCATCAAGAAGATGCCCACCTCTTCCTAGCAGAGCCAGTCATTGGTCGGCGCCTCGTGCCTTAATCCGAGGCAGCATGGCATGACTGGTCCCGGGCAGGAAAGGCACTGGCCTGGCCCAGAATCCGGCTGGACCAGCGTTCTTTGCCACAGGAGGGAGATGCCGCCTGTGTGGCGACTTCCAAGGCACTTCCGAGGCCCAGAAGCATTGTGCCCTCCAAGGCTCGTGCCAGGACAGGCTGGCCCCAGACATCTTGCTCCCCGTACGGCCCCCACAGAAGCCACGGGCCCATGGCCGGCCAGGTGCTTCAGCCAAGGCAGGAAGCTGCACAAGCACAAGCACAAGCACGGCTGCCCGGCAGCGAAGTCCAGCTGCGATGGCCAGGCGGGCCCCCCACCTGCTGCCCTCTCCCCCTCCCCTCTCTCAGCCCTGCAGCGCCTACCCTGCCCAGCCAGAAGGGCGGGCTGGGCGGGAGAGGGGCAAGGGTTGCTCGGCAAGGCCAAATGGGCGCTGGCATGAGCCACCGGCCTTCCCGGACATGCTGCTGTTTGTCCTCAGCTCAGCAAACAGGGGCCTGCCCTCCCCGCCCTCCCGGTGCATTTTCCGGAGGCTGAGTCCTGTCAGGAAGGGGCAGGCCAGGGACAGCGGGGGGCGGGGGGGGAGTGGTGCCTTCCCCCTCAGCCTCCTGGCAGCTTCTCCCAACTGAGACCCCAGTCCTGAGCAGCTGCCCCCCCCAGCCCCCCCACGAGCCCTGCGGGAGGAAATGGCCACCCAGAGAGTAGCGTGCGTGCTCATGGGCTCAAGGGCAAGCTCCCCCTCAAGCTCGTGCCCCCCCCCCCGCCCGCTCTTCATAGCAGACTCAGCCACAGCACAGATGCCCGGGAGTAGCCGCGGGCCCCCAGCCTGCCTCGTCCCGTGGGGCAGAGCCCGTTGCGCAAGCGCTGCCCGGACTGGCTGCGCGGGAAGCGTCCCGCCCCCGGCCCCGCTTTAAGAGGCCGCGCCGCGGGCCCGCGGGAGCTTCGACCGGCGCTGCAGCGGCACCATGCACGGCGCGCTGCGGCTGCTCTGCCTGGGCTGGGCGCTGCTGCCCGCGCTCGCGCACCCGGTGTGAGTGTCCGGGGCCCCGGGGCGGCGCGCCGGGGAGCGGGGAGACGGGCAGGGCTTTTGCCAGCTCTCCCGACCGAGCCGAAGGAGGCAGAGCTGGCGCGCAAGGGGCCCGTGCAGGGACAGAGCGTGAACGGCCGCCTGCGCGCCGCGCAGCCCTCGCTCGGCGCTGCGCGGGCCGGTCCCGTCCCGCCCCGGAGCGGGCGCAGCTCTGCCTCTGGGCGCAGCCGGACCTCTGGGGCCGCTCCTGCTCGGGGGCGCAGGGGCAGGGCGAGTGAGCCGCACGCTCACCGGGCGCTCTTCCTCCAGGGGCCGCGGCGGGCGCAACCACAGCAGCGACTGGCACCACCTGGGCCCGGAGCCGCCACTCGAGGACGCAGGTGGGAGAGCGCGGCCGCTCCGAGCACCTGCTCCGGTCCCCGGGCTGGGCTCCGGACTCTCCGGCACCCTCCGTCCCAGGCTGGCCTGCCGGCCGGAGCCGTGGGGCTCCAGAAAGCCTCGGGCTCTCTGAGACTGCCCAGCCCCTTTGCCGCCCCCCCCCCCCCCGCGGCCAGGCTCCCTTCGAGGGCGCAGCTCAGCCCCTGCTCCGCGAGCTCGAGGAGGCGCCCAGCGCCCGGTGAAGCTCGCCCGGAGGCCGCCTCTCCCGGACAGCCAGCCCGCTCTGGAGGAGTTGGCCGTTGGCCGGGAGCCCGCTGGAGGCGTCTCCTGGGGCCTCCGACCAGCAGCAGGAGCCCTCGGTGCGGAGCGCGTGAGCCTGGCGGGGGGTGCCCCCAATGACTCCCCTCCCTGCCCCCAAGGACCGGGCACCACAGGGGCTGCGCTGCTCTTCCCCACTCTAGAGAGCAGCCCCCGGGGCAGTGGGGGTGCCACAGAAGGAGCGGAGAGGCTGCCCCCACGGGTCCTTGATTGGGTTTGTTCTCCACGCCCCCAGTAGCCCCCCCTGCTTGTGCCCCACCTGTGAGAACATTCCTGCGCCCCACACAAGGCATGGTGCCCAGGGCAAACAGGAGGGGCCGGGCTGTGGCCGGGCGCTCGTGCGGGAGTGCCGAGAGCGGGGCTGGGGGTGGCCGGAGCGTGTCCTTACTGGCAGCTCTTCTCCCAGAGGTCGTGCGGCGCTGCGCAGACGAGACGGGTTTTGACGCCGTCACACTGGACGAGGGAGGCACCATGCTCTTCTTCAAAGGTAGTCGGCATCCGCTCGTGTCCGTGAAGGGCACCCGATCCCCGGGTGGCCCTTCCAGGGCTTCCCCCGCCCGTCCCTCCTTCCTCGCAGCTGGGAAGGCATACGAGGGCACGTCATGGGACGCTCCGGTGGGCGGGCGGGCAGGGGCCCTGAGGAGGTTGTGCTTGGGAGAGCTGCGGGGGCTCAGGCGGAGGCCTCCCGGGCACATGGTGGGGCGGTCACCTGGCCGGGCTCCTTCCCTCCCGTCTTCCAGGGGACCTTGTCTGGAAGGGCTTCACGGGCCGAGCAGAGCCCATCAACGCCTCCTGGCCAGACGTTGGAGGCCCCGTGGACGCTGCGCTGCGGATCCACCATGTGGCCCGCCAGGACCTGCATGACAACGTCTATCTCTTCCGGGTGTGTAGCGCCGAGGCCGTAGCTGCCGCCCCTCCAGCCTGGGGCAGTTTCGTGTCTTGCCCTGGCTTGGGGCAGGACAGGATGAGCACGGCCAGGCGAGGGCAGCCTGGTTGCCCCCCAGCCCCCTGTCTGGGTGTGGCAGAGGGGCTGCTCCAGCCGGGCCTGGACTGCCAGCGGGAAGGGGGGTGCCCAGGGCAGGAGGTCAGGAGAGCACACGCTGGGGGGGCTCGTGGCACAGCTGCCCCCAGGGGCACCTGTGTCAGGGAAAGGCCCGCAAGGCAGCCTGGGGGTCCTGGGCACTGACCGAGGGGCTGCTCCCCTGCAGGGCGAGCGCTTGTGGGCCTATGCCCAAGGCAAGCTGCGGCCAGGCTACCCCCGGCTCATCGGGGAGGAGTTCAAAGGCGTGCCCTCGAACCTGGATGCCGCGGTGGAGTGCCACCCGAAGGAATGCCAGGCCGAGACCATCCTCTTCTTCAAGGGTGAGGTGGCGCGCCCCTGGCGGCTCAGGGGAGCTGCCGGGTCTGTGGGTCAGCCGGGCACCCTCTCTGCGTCCGCAGTGGCAGCCGCTCCTGCCCCGAGCCGGGTGGGGGAGAGGCGGCTGGGCCCACGGGGCACCTTCCCCATGCATCTCTCCCGGCGCGTGGCGCTTGGGGACACGTCGCGCAGGTGGGCCACGTGGAGGCCGGGTGCTGAGGGGCCTGGGAAGAGGTGGCCGCCCACCTCCCTGTTCGCCCCGGGCAGAGCCACTGTGGGCGGATCGAGCGAGCGATCGATCCCGCCGGCAGGGCAGGGCAGGGCAGGGCAGGGCCACGGGGCCGCAGCTGCCTTGAGCTGGCCTCACACAAGCCCTTCCGGGTGTTCCCTGCTCGGGTCTCACGGAAACATAGAAAACAGAGCGAGTCAGAAGGGGCCTCCCGGGCCATCTAGTCTGACCTCCGGCAGCAGCCGGCTCCGCTCACGACATGCCCGCCATGGGGACGTCCAGCCTGTCCTTGAAGGTCTCCATGGTGCCCTTGCAGGTTTTGGGGTGCCCCCTCCCTGGCCTTCCTGCAGAGGCACCGCCAAGCGTGGCCCGTGGGCCTCTGCGTGCCGCAGGCCACCCCTGCCCTGCACAAACCCCACGGGCCTCCCTGCCCGCCCCCTCTCCTCCAGACACGAACGTCTTCTCCTACGACCTGCAAACCGGGCAGGTGAAGCTGCGCTCGTGGCCGGCCATCTCCCACTGCACGGCGGCCGTCAGGTGGCTGGACCACTACTACTGCTTCCAGAACATCCACTTCTTGCGCTTTAACCCCGTCACGGGCGAGGTGCCCCCCAACTATTCCCGGGACGCCAGGGACTACTTCATGCGCTGCCCCGGAAGAGGTGAGTCCACAGCACCGAGCGCCGCTCCAGCAGGGGCAAGTCGCAAGCGTCCGGCTCCAAGACGGGCCGTGAGAGCCGCTGCCCGTGCCGTGCGGCCCCTGGAGCTGGGCCCCGGGATCGGGGAGGGCTGCCCGCCCGCCCGCCTGCCGCCCGCAGGGCCTGATCCCACCCGGCCCCCTGGGCTCCCTCTGGGGAGGGGCAGCGTGGCTGTGGCGAGCGGGGACAGCTGCGGGAGCACCGCCACTCTGACGCCTTTCTGCCTCCCCGTCTTGAACCGGGCAGGCCACGGGCACGCGGCACGGCACAACGCCACGGTCTGGGCTCTCCTGAACCGCTGCAGTGGACACCCCTTCCAGGCCTTCTCGTCAGACGACTCCGGGAGGACATACGCCTTCCGCGGTAACCGCGCGGGCACACCTGTCAGGGGCACAGGGCGCCCCGCCGCTGGAAAGGGGCATTGGCGGTGCGGGGGGTGAGTGGGAGGGGGCTGGGTGCGGCCGGTTGTTCCCGCTGGCTGCCTCCACCTCCCGTGGCTGCAGACCGAGGTGCCTGAGGTGCATGGGGGACTTGCGCCATTGCTCGCCAGCACACGGGAATGGGGTGCAGGGGTGCCCATGCACGGCTGCAGATGTGACCCCGAGCAGGTGGTTGGGGGCCAAGGTGAAGCCCCCACCCCCCGCGCTGGGAATGGGGTCCGACACGGCCCCACAGCTGCTGTCTCTTCACTGCAGGGGGTCGATACTTCCGCCTGGACTCGGCGCGGGACGGGTGGCACGCCTGGCCGCTCAACCACACCTGGAAGGGCCTGGAGGGGGAGGTGGATGCTGCCTTCAGCTGGGAGGACAAGCTGTACCTGATCCAGGTGTGGGCCCAGGCGAGAGGCGGGCAGGCAGTGTGTGTGGGGGGTGACTGTGGTGGGGGGGCTCAGGCAGGGTCCAGCTGGCAGGGCCTGGCCTGTGCAAGGCCCCGTGTGTGGTGCCTGCGAGGGAGGTGGGCTGGAGGCCGGTGCCTGCCGGCCTCCCTCTCCCTTCAGCCTGCCCCCAGAGAATCAGAGGCAGCAGGGCCAGGGCCCGCTCTCAGAAGGCCGCCGTGGGGCAGCCAGTGGTGGGGCAGCGGTGCTCACCAGCTGTGACAGCGGTGATCCTGGGGAAGGCAGGGAGCTGCAGGGAGGGCTGCCCCCCAGGGCACCTGAGCAGGGCTGTGGGGGCCCCGGAGCCTCCCCCTTTCTAGCCCCCGAGGAGGACGCGTGGCCCCATAGGCTGCCCCCACCCCACGGCTCTGCAGCAGCTGCTGGAACCCGAAGGGCTTCTGCACCCCTCCCCGACCAACCCGTGCTCTCCCCCACCAGGGCACCAGTTGCTCTCTCGGGGGGTGGAGTGGGGGCCTCCATAGGTGGGGCTGGGGCTGGGTTTGGGGAAGGCTGCTCCCGGCACCCAACCTGCCCCACCTTTCTCGGCTCACAGGGCCCACAGGTCGTCATCTACCAGGCCGGCCCGGGCTACGCCCGCATCGAGGGCTACCCCCGGGCCCTACAGCAGGAGCTGGGCGTGGGGGGCGCCGATGCTGCCTTCACGTGCCCGCAGTCCCACGAGGCCTACATCATCCAAGGTACTGAGGGGAGGTCCGGGGGGTCCGGTGCAGCTTCCCCCCAGGCGGAGCCACGGGTGTCCGCGCTGGGCCCGTCCCTACGCCCTGCCCCGGCTCGCCCTCGCCCGGGGAGGGGCCGGGCCTTGCTGAGGATTGGCTGCCGGCGCCGCAGGGGCTCCCTCGCCCTCCCCCGGAGCAGCTCAGGGGGAGCCCGGCCCCGCCGAGGCAGCCGGCCAGGCTGCGGGGAGGCCCCTGGGGCAGGCGAGGCCGTTTGCCCCCTCCTCCCTGTCGGGATGGGGCTCTGGCACAGCCGCCTGCCATCGCGAGGCCCCGCAGAGGCTGGCCTGGGTCCTGACGCGACTTCTGCCCCACAGGCAGTCACATCCGGCATGTGGACCTGCGCACGAGCCCTCGCCTCCCGGGGCCACCGCAGCCCATCCCTCACGACAAAGTGGACAGTGCCCTGTGCACCCGCACGGGAGTGTCCCTGTTCCACGGGGCCGACTTCCACCATTACGACAACGTCGCGCAGCTCGTGGCCGCCAAAGCCCCCTCCCCTGCCCAGAACATCGCTGCAGTCTTTTTCCAGTGCCCCAAGGCAGGGGCTGGCAGGGCTGCCCCACACCCCCCCCACCATGGATGAAGCCCCCTTCCCTGGTGGGAGCGGCCTGTGCCCAGCCCCCCCCATGCTGTCAATAAACCCCATGCTTGGGCCCCACGCTGCAGCCACGTGTGATGCCTGTTCTGTCTGGGCCGGGACCGTGCGCGGTGTGTCACCACAGGGGTCGTCTCTGCAGCGGGAATCGTGACCACTGGCCCCTGCTGGTTTCGGGCAGCGCGTGGCACAAGCAGGGCTCTGAGATGGGTCATGGGGGCCACAAAGTGGCGTTTATTGAGAGGCCTCGGTGGCCTTGGTGGCCCAGTCCCGGGGCAGGCTCAGCCGAAGATGCAGACGGTGCCGGAGGCGAGGCGGTGGCGGTACTCGTGCAGGAGACTGGCCTCGGCCGGGAAGCTGCTCTTCATGGCCAGCTTCCCGGGCACCACGAGGACGGTGACGCTGGGCCCCAGCCCCTCGGCCAGCTTCTGCAGCATCCGGCGGGCGAGGTAGCCGGAGGCGCGGGCCGGCTCGGCCTCCAGGCTGGCGTAGACCTCCGGGGGCGGGTTGGGCAGCTTCCACTCCAGCTCGCCGATCAGCCGGTTGGTGCGCGCGCGGTCGAGGGCGGTGGGGCTCTCCTGGTAGCAGGCCACCACGTGGAGCCCCGAGGATGCCCGGCCAGCCACGAAGTTGCCCTGGGCCAGCACCTCCTCCTCCTGGCCGGCCTCGGGCTCCGGCCCCGGCGCCTGCCAGGCCATCACGGCCCAGCGCAGCCAGTCGTAGTTGTGCTCCAGCTTGCGCAGGATGCCAGCGGCCAGCTCGGCCGGGCCCGCGGCCGCCGCCGCCTCGCCCAGCGCCTGCTCCACGTCCTCGCGCGCCTGCTCGGGGAAGTAGGTGGCGCAGCGCGCCAGCGCGTCCTCGGCGCGCCCGTGCAGCGCGGCCACGCGCTCGGCCCAGGCGCCCAGCAGCAGCGCCGGGTCGCGCCCGGCCAGCGCCGCCTCGCTCAGCAGGCACAGCAGGCCGGCGCCCAGCACGGCGCCCAGCTTCTGGCAGAGGCGGGCCAGCTGCGGGCGGCGCGGGCGGTGGCGCTCCACGGCCTGCTCCAGCAGGGGGCGCCGCAGCGCCAGCACGGCGCTGCCCTGCACGAGGCGGCAGAGAGCCAGCAGGCGGCGCTCCAGCTCGTCGCGGGCGCAGCGCTGCAGGAAGAGCTCGCGCTCCCGCGCGGCGTGGGGGCCGGTGGCGCGCGCGGCCAGCGCCAGCTGCGCGAACACGCCGGCCACGCAGTCCTCGCACAGGCCCAGCTCGCCGTCCTCCAGCAGCCCCGGCCCGCCGGCCAGCTCCCGCTCCAGCGCCTCCAGCTCCCTGCGCACGAAGGCCAGCTCGTCGGGGGCGGCCGCGCCCTGCAGGTGGGACACCACGCCCAGGGCCAGCGAGCGCAGCGACTGCAGGAAGCCCACGGGCTCCAGGCGCCGCGAGAAGAGCGCCATGCCGCGGCTGCAACAGAAGAGGGCGGCGTCGGCGGGCGCTCGGCCGGGCGGCCCCTCTCGCCTCGCCGCGCCGCGCCCGCCGCCTCCTGGCCGCCCGCCTCCCCTTTGGCCGAGGGGTGAGGGGCCGGGCCCGCCCCTCCGCGGGGAAGCCGCCCGCCCGGTGCTGCAGGACCCCCGCGGGGCCCACGGTGCGTAGGGCAGCTCCGGGCCGGAGGGCAGCCGCGGCCGAGCCCGGCTCTCCCGGCAGGGGGCGCTGCCGGTGCGCTGGCCGGCTGATGGCGCCTCCTCGGCCGGGCCCGCGGGCCTCCCGGAGCCCTCGGCCGGCACATGGCCCCTGCCGCCGCCTCTGGCCTCCTTGGGCCCGGCCGATGCCCTTGCACTGCCTCCCGGGCCGCGGCATGGGAGGGGTGGGAGGCTCAGGGCTCGGATGGGCGCCCCCGCCTCGCTTGCCCCTCGCTGGCTCTGTGCCCTTTTATCACCAGCCAGGGCAACGAAGGGCACGTGGGCAGGCGGGCGCTCCCGGGCTCGAGGCCTTCAAGGGCACCCGGAGGGCCACAGAGCTCCATCACCCGGGGGGCCTCGCCCCCCCCAGAGGGTGCGGAAGAGCAGGACGGGGTGCCTGGGGGCAGCCACCGGCCGCGAAGGGGAGCCAGCCGCGCAGGGCCCAGCAAAGGCTCTGCTCCCGGGATGCCCTTTCTCCCTCCACGGAGGGCCGGCTGCACCTCGCTGTGCCTGTGGAGTGGCACAATTTTATGGGGGGGGGGGGTCGCCTGCCTCTGGGGGTGCTGGAAAAGTGCCTGAGCTGCTGCCTTCTGCCCATTCTTACCTGATGGCTGCAGACAAAACTTCCAGGTGCTGCAGTGGAAAACGCGCCGGCAGGTTACCTAGGGACTTCCTGTAAAAGCCAGGGAGTGGGGGCTGGTTGCGGGGACCTGCTCTCAGCCTGCACGGCCCTGCAGGGACCAGGGGCCTACTGCCCGCTCCCACCCTCCTGGCTCCTGGGCAGAGCCGCCCTGCCTGGCATCTCCCGTGGAGGGGCAGAGGGGGCAGGCTGCCCCATGGGGAATCCAGGCCCCTGGGGGCAGGAGAGGCCTTGGAGGCTCCCAGGCAGTTGGAGCCCCCTCTGGCTTACTGGAGGAAGCCCCCTTGCCGAAGGACAGGTTCCGACGGCAGGGGGTGCTTCCTGCCTCGGGCCCCTTCAGGCAGGGGCCGAGCCCTGGCCCCAGAGAGGCCCGTCCCTCTGCCGCCTCCACCTACTGCCCCGCACCTCTGAGGGACAGGTGCCCCAGAGTGGCGCCGTACGGCCGCCGCCTCACCTTACGCTCCTGCGCTGGCGTCCTTGTGGCGTCGCTCCTCCGCCGGTGCACCGCCGGGACTGAGGCGCCGTGCGAGGCGGTCCGTGGCCGTGCCTGCGCTGAGCCCCAGCCTTATCTCGCCCCGCCCGGGGCACGTGAGCCGGCCCGGCCTGGGGCCACCAGGTGCCAGTGCCCGCCTCGGCTGCCCCCCCACGCCTGGACGCCGAGAGTCTCCTTTTCTGCCCTGCGTCCTGCAGCGAACCTCGCAGCAGACGAGGCGCCATTTCCTCTGCCCTCGCTTCTTGCTTCAGCGGTCCTTCGTCTACTTGCTGTTGTCTGTTGTTTGGCTCTCGCTGCTGCTGGGCACGAAAGGGCAGGGTGTCAGTGGGGAGAGCGAGCCTGCGGCCCTGGGCAGGAGCTGGCCGGCCGCCCTCTCCCGGCCTCAGTCGCCTTTCAGCCAAGCGGGTGCTTGGCCAGGCCGTGGCTGCTGCAAGAGTCGCCGCAGCACGAGCGACGCCGCGCAGGCGCCGTGGATCTGTGCCGCAGTCGGCACGGAATATGCCGGTCCTTGTGCGAGGTGACAGCAGCTGCCACCCTCAGCGCTGCTGAGCAAGCCAAGGAGGGCCCAGCCAGAGGCGGGACGCCCGTGGCTCGTCGATGCCATTCGGCGCTTTGGCCCAGTCCTCAGGCAGGCCTCCAAAAGCCCTTGATGCACCGGTGCTCCCTGCAGTGATCGGGGCAAACGATTCTGAAGATGTGGGGAGCTTTTCAGTGCAATAAATATGAAGTTGACCTTTGCAAGCAGTGAATTCTTTAACTGTCGAAATGCTTAGGACCCTGGATTCATGAGCCGCAAGAACAGGGCGTCCCCAAGTACTGCCGCCTTTCCTTGCAGGGGAGCCGGTTCAGCCCCTTGATCATTTTGACTGCTCTCCTTTGTGTTTTCCCCAACTCTCCAATGTGCATCTGGAGCTGCAGTGACTGGAGCTACTCCCTCGGTCGCCAAGGCAGGCGCGCCTCGGCCTGTACAGGGGCTGTAGCCGTTTTCCTTGCAGTTCTGTTCCAGTTGTGCCCAGCATGGGGTTGGCCTTGGCTGGCTGCCGGGCCATTGCTTCCACGAGCTGTTCTCCACCCTCCCAGGGTCCCTTCCTGGATCAGTCAGTGCCAGCTTAGGTTCCAGCAGAGCATGCCTGAACTTGGGTTCAGTGTGCAGTGCTGAATCGCAGTTGCCATCTTGATGCTATTCGCCAGTTTGGAGTTCCTTTCAGAGCTTGTAGAGCATGGGAACCGAGCGAGTCAGAAGGGGACTTCTGGGCCATCTAGTCTGACCCCAGCTCCAGCTGGCCCTGCTCATGTCATCCCCAACATGTGGGGATTTGGAGTCCCTTTTCAGTTTAGCCACCCTAAATAATCGGGTGTCATAAACAGACTTGGGCACAACACTGCCAACCTTCAGCTGCAGATAATTTGCAAATGACAATAATGGCATGGAAAGTCAAAGGCAGAAGGAGAGGGAGACCTTGGAAATGAAACGAGGCGGCAGTCTTGCGTTTACGGGAACTGGGCAGGGCTGTGGGGGGCAGGCAATTTTGGGAGGTTTTGTTCGTGGGGCACCACGAGTCCAGGACAATGGGACATCGCAGCACACAAGCCCCAGCGGAGGTGCTGGGAGAGGTCTCCGTGCACATCCAGCCGTGCCTGGCAGATGCTGAGCGGCAGATCTCTGCGGGCAGCCTCACTGCCATGCCTCAGGCAGAGCCCGGGTGGATCCGCAGCCACACGCCGTGTCGAGCAGCTGCCGCTCCAGCCAGGGGCTTAGCCGGCCTTGCCAACATGCTCCCATTGCAGCAGGGAGCCACACAGAGCCCTTGGAAAACCGGGCCTTCCTGAGCTGTGCGCAGCCACCTCCCAGGAGATCCGGGCGTTCCGAGGGGGCCGCATGCAGGCAAGCACAGGCGCTGGCGCCCCTCCGGGGCAAGCACTGGCCATTGCTCCCTCTCTCTTCCTGCCCTTCCAGCCAGCATCAATCCATGAAAAGATTCCTCCTCTTCCTGGAGGACCACTAACTTTGCTCGGGGGCCCTGCATGAAGGACTTTGTTACAGGTGTTTTGGACGTCCAGGGCAGTACCTGCCAGATCATACCTGTATCATGTAGCCAGCATCCTTCCAGAACCCACCAGGCTCTTGCTGGAGAATTCCGGGGTTGAGCGTCAACGTGCGCTCTGGCTCCCGGGAAGAGTGGCCGGAGCAGGCGCAAAGCCACGGCTGGTGTTGCTTTGCAGAGAAATCGGGCTGGTGGCTGCAGCGGCTGAGCCAACCTGCCCACGGCCGCCTGGCCATCTCCGCGTCACGGCAGCCCTCGCGAGGAAAGCCCCCGCAAAGCCATCCACCCCTCCTCAACTCCCTTGCCTTCCAGTAACCCGTCCCAGGAGACTCTCCCCAGTCTGGCCTTCAGTTGGCCAAAGTTGGCCCCCTTGAAGTCCCAGCTTCTCGTGCTCGACCCGCTGCCCGTCCGCAGTCCCCTGATCTCCAAGCAAAGGATGGAGTGATCACTCGCATCCAGAGCTCCCCTAATCTGTACTTCACCTATCAGCTCCTCCCTATTGGTCAAGACCAAGTCCCCCCCTCGTCGCCTCTTGGACCCTCTGCGTGAAAAACCCTCCCTCTATAGCTTCTAGGAAGCGACGTGACCTGGCTGTCACCGCCGAGTGAGTCTCCCAAGTAATACCTGGGAGATTGAAATCTCCCATAATTACTGTGTTTCTCTCCTGAGATATCCTTAGAATCTGGCCTGCCAGGACATCATCCAGGGTCTCAAGTTGACCTGGAGGGCGATAACATACCCCCACTGCCAGCTCCCTTTCCCTGTCAAAACCCCTAAGTTTCACCCAGACTGCCTCTACCGAATCCCCATCTGTGCTGCGTTCTGTCTCACTGCATCCTATCCCTTCCCTGACCTATAAAGCCACGTCCCCACCTCTCTTTCCCTTCCTGCCCTTTCTAAAAAGGTGATACCCCTCTATGCTCACATTCCAGACTTGCCTTTCATCCCACCAAGTTTCTGTGATTCCCACCAGGTCATACCCTCCTATTCCCAGGAGAGCTTCAAGCTCTTCCTGCTTATTACCCATGCTCCTAGCACTGGTGTACATGCACCTCAACTCCTTCCCACCGCTTCCTTTCCTTGGAGTTCCCAGCCTCCTCCTTCTTCCCATCCTCCCTGATACCTGGCCCCTCTCTGTTGGAGTCCTGTCAGTCCTTGCAGTACCTCTAAAACCCTGCTCCCAGAGCCCTGATCCTCCCCCCACACTTGTCCAGTGCAGACACATTCCTGGGGGGCCTCAACCCCCCCCCCCGGCTCAGTTTAAAGTCTTCTGGACGAAGCTGGCTAGAGCATCTCCAGAGGACCTTTTCCCCATCCTCGTGAGGTGCAACCCGTCCCTTGCCAGAAGTCCACTGGCAAGAAACCGGGTGCCGTGGTCGAGCACTGGGGAAAGATTTTGTGCTTGCTTCCCGATCGCCCCCTCTGCCCGGTGGGGCTGCCCCCGTGTGCCATCCAGGCAGCCGCCACAAGGCCTTCCACCCCGGGGGAACCTCGCACCGATGCCTTTTGCCCGGGACGCTTCTCCTGGATGGCTGGACACTCCTGCTACTCTGCTCCTTTTCTTCTTTTTCCATTTTCCCAGAAACACTGATGGGATTAGTGGTCTTGTCTTCCTGTAGTTCTTTGCAGAGATATGTCCCTTTAAAATAAAGAGCAATTCCTCCTCCTTTTCTGTTACTTCTGTTCTTTTTGAACAGGTTATATCCTGCAGTTTTTGAATTCCATTCGTGGGAGTCATCTCACCAAGTTTCAGTTATGCTCAGCAGGTCGTATTTGCCCTCGTGGAAGTTCAGTTGTTTCCCTGACTTTGGGCATTGGTGTGGGGACATCTAAAGCCACGCAAATGATTCCCTGGCCTCTTTCCTACATTTCTGGGAGCCTAGTGTTCGGTCCAGCTAGAGTTTCTTTGATTGTACATAGCACATAGTATTGGCACGCCCCTGAAACTCTGCCAGTAAAACATAGAAAGTAAATGCACGTTTGAAGGAATTCCATCTTCTGCTCACATGGTGGAGAGCTGGCCCCCCACAGGGTCCCACAAGCAGGGTGTGCGTGAAACAACACCCGCTCAGCCCTGCTGTCCCGCAGCTGGTACACACACACACCCACACCCTGCTAATGGTGCCCCATCGTCAAGAAAGGAAGAGAACCTGAGAGCTACAGACCAGTCAGTCAGACCTCAGTCCCCTGGAAAATTCTGGAGCACCTTATGAAGTGGTAAGTCTGCAAACTTGAAAACCATGCAGTGATTACTAGAAGCCGACATGGATTCCTTGAGATCAAATCCCGCCAGACGAATCTGATCTCATGCTTTGATTGTGCACCCTCCCCAATGGATGGTGGGTGCTGTGGACATCACCTGCCTTGTCCTCAGCAAGGCCTTTGACCAAGTGCCCCACGGCATCCTGATTAGCAAACCAGCTAGTGGGCTCCACGGAACAGCTGCCGGGGGATCCACAGTTGCTGGGTGGCTGCAGAATCACCCTCACAGAGCGCTCATCAAAGGCAACTTCTCAAAGTGGGGAGAGAAACTGGTGGGTACCGCAGGGTCCAGTCCTGGCCCCAGCGCTCTCCAGCGCTTTTGCTCATGACTTGGGTGAAGGAGTGCAGGGACCAAGGCTCAGATTTGCAGATGACACACAACTGGGTGGCGTAGCTAATACCCTGGAAGACAGAAGATTGAGCATGATCTTGAGCGCTGAGCCAAAAGCAACAGACTGAAATACAACAGGGACAAATGCCAAGTTGTGAACCTAGGAAAAAGAACCCAAATGCATAATTGCATGACGGGGAATTCCTGGCTCCACCATACTGCAAGTGAAGTGAAAAGGATCTTGGGATTGTCGTAGATCACAAGCCGAATATGAGTCATCACTGTGATGTGCCTGCAAAAAGGTCCAATGCTATTTTAGGCTGCATTAAGAAAAGCATCACTGCCAATCATGTGAAGCGCTAGCGCTGCCTCATGCAGCACGCTGAGGCCTCACCTGGGGTGCTGTGTCCAGCTCTGGGCCCCACCATTTTAGAAAGCTGCAGAGAAGCTGGAAAGGGTCCAGAGGAGGGCAGCAACGATGAGCCGGGGACTGCAGACGAGACCCCATGAGGAGAAATGGAAAGAACTGGGCATTTTTGGCCTCAAAAAGAGAAGCCTGAGGGGAGACACGATAGCACTATGCAAGTACCTCCAAGGCTGCCGCAAAGAGGAAGGTCAAGATCTCTTCCTGCTGATGCCAGCATATGGGACATGGAATAATCAAGTCAAGTCGCAACTACCCAGATTCAGGCGAGATATCAGGAAAAGCTTCCTTGCTGTCAGAGCAATACGGCAGGGGAACCGTTTGCCTGGAGAGGTGGGGGGCTCTTCCACCCTGGAGATATTAAAAACAAACAAACGAAGGAACACCTGGATGGCCACCTGAGTGGGAGGTGCAAACTGGTGTCCTCCATGGCCCCTTCCAATCCTACTTTTCTACGACCCTAAGAACGTGCAGAGAGTGATCCAGCCCTCCCACCCTCGTCTCTTCGTGAGGCTGAATGTGTCCGGGTCGCTCAGCCTTTCCTCCCAGGGCTTTGCCTCCAGGCCCGGGATCGTCCTTCTTGCTCCCTTCTAGGCCCTTCCTGGCTTTTCTGCATCTCCTGTCAGCTCAGGGGCCAGAACTGGGCACGGGGCCCCAGGTGCGGCCCGACTGCTGGAGCCCGGGGGCCGTTCCACGGAGCCGGTGGGTGGCAGATTCAAGACTGGCCAGGGGAAGCGTCCTCAGCCCGGCAGGGCCGAGCGGGCTGGCAGTGGCCGCCCGGCTGCAGGAGGATCCGTGCGCCCACGTCCGGGCAGCCCCGGGCCCGCTGCAGGACCGGGGCGGGGGCGCTGCTGCGGGACGAAGGGCCGCGCGCTGGCCCGCCTCAGCTGCTCGCCCCGCACGACGCGAGGCCGGCAGGGCGCCACGGCGTGCGGGGGAGGCGCGCGACCCTCGCGCCCAGCGCCGCTCCGGCTGGGGCCCTGCTGAGGCGCGCTCGGGGGCGCGCCGCCGGTCCAGCGCCTTCTGCGGGGCGCGCCCGAGGGCGGGGCCGCGCCAGGT